ACACACACACACACACACACACACACACACACACACACACACACACAGGAACTACTGCTAATCCATTCTCGGTAGTTAGAGGAAGTTTAAGGCTTGTAGGTGGAGTCCCTGGTATGTTGAAGAAAGAGGGTTGATTTAGTGTGGCACACCCTCTTTTGGGGTTTTGTTTGGCTTCTCTGATTCTTTTTCTTCCCTTCCTTGGACTCCTCTTGAGTTCTTTTCTTCACAGGACAGAAATGTAAGAAGGGCCCAGGGCCACCTCCGGTTTGTGGGCTGGGACCGTGCAGCTGGTCTCCTCCCCTTGTCTCTTTTTTCCTTTCTCTCTATGCATTCCCCCCTTCTCCCCACTGTTTCCCTACCTCCTTTTTTACCACAGCGGGACACAGGAGGAAGAATGTTTCCTCCTTGTTTGGCCCTGGCTACAGACTAGCTTGGTGCTTCACAGTCCTAGTAACGAGGGAAAACTTTGGGGAAGATGTGAAGGCCTGTGCCGGAAAAGTGCTCCCTTGTGCAATTAAATTTAACTTTAGAGGTTTCTCTTTTTAATTCTGTTCTTCTGGTGTGATATTGAAAAGGATTTGGAATCTAGTTAAACTGATGCTTCAGGAAAATAAACCCTTTAATTGTCTTGTGTTTTCTCATATATGGCCTCAGTCTCCAGTTTAAGGAGTGCAAACCACAAGGATTTGGGGCCAAAACCTTTTTATTGAGTATCTCTTGTGCATTTCTCATGATGGAAGTTAACTTTTTGGCTCATTAGGTCCCAGCTTCTTTCTCTCAGCAAATTAAATGAGGCTTCTCAATCTTTGGACCACCCTGGGTTATAAATAATTTGTGCTAAAAGCTTTTTATTTCCTAGAGTTTGCAGTGAATGCACATATGCTGTGGAGTTCCTTGTCTGGACAGTCATGAAAAGATGGCAGCCAGTGTTTATTGTTCTCACCACGTGCCAGGTTCTGGTCTCACCCCTTCCGTGCAGCATGCTGTCTAGTTGTGTGGTGCTTTAGAAACAAGTAACTGACCTTGTAGAATTCATGCTAACGTTACCATTGTTTTTAATTAACAGATTTCAACACTAAACTTGCACAATGTCTTTGAAACCAAGAGTAGTGGATTTTGATGAAACCTGGAACAAACTCCTCACGACAATCAAAGCTGTGGTCATGTTGGAGTACGTGGAGAGAGCAACATGGAACGACCGCTTCTCGTATCCTTCCAGTGGCACGGATGCCTGCACTGATCAACATGCTAGGTTCATAAGCTTGTTGAAAAGTGACAACAGGTTTAAGTTTTCCTAAGTGGAAGAACATGCCAGTGTGACTATTTTCATATATATTATTGTTCACATTTCCAAGTTCATTGCCTGTATGTGGCAGTCAACAATCTTTGATAACCTTTTGCTCAACAAATACTTTACTGAGCACTTAGTATATGTCAGGCACTACTTTAGGCTTTGGGAGTACATTTGTGAACGAAGCAAACTACTTTCCCTTCATTCTACTAAAGGAAATAGATATTAAATGGATGTAAAACACAAAACCTGATGCCAGTGCTTCTAACAACAGGTTACATCCCGTGGGGGGACGTAAAGCAAAGCGAGGGCATGAGCGTGGTTGGAGTGCGCGTGCGCGCCTCTCTAGATGGTGGTCAAGGAAGGTCTCCTTGAGGATGTTGATGATGTCGAGGATGGCGATACTTGAGCAGAGGCAGGAACCGAGGGAGGGAGCAGGTCACACAGAAACCTGGGGGGGAGTGTTCCAAGCAGAGAGCAAACAGCAAATTCAGTGGCTCTGAGATGGAAACGTTTCTTATTTGGGTTTTCTACATTTGTGATTTAGGGGTTTTATATGAAAATATAAATTTGTGGTTTCCCTAGGACAGTCTGAAACCTGCTGTCCTGCATTCCTACATGACAGCAATCTTTTTTTAAAAAATACATATATATACATACACACACACACACACACACACACACACACACACACATACACACACTGTACATGATATGTATAATGTATGTATATTATTATAACGTTATTAATAATATTATTTTATATATACATTATATATGTAAAAAACACAGTGCAACCTCCAGCACCCAGGCTATATACTCTGGCACCAAAGGAAAAAACCACAGTATTACAATACTGTAGTTTCTTAGTACTGGGGAGGTTAAAGGGGTCTCTAGGAACCCTCAGCCACAGGTAGCTGGAGCAGAGTGGTGGGTGGCAGCCTCATCAACTCTGCCCAGTGTTTGCCAGGGGCCACGGCTGGGAGGGCCTGGGAACAGCCTGTGCCCTGGCAGACTCCTGACCCGCCTCCGTCTTCCACCACAGGGACCACCACACACACCACATTCCAGGGCAAAGAAGGGGCATAGGGTCGAGGCCTGGTCTCTGGGTCTGAGTGCCATGGCAGTGCCCCAGGGCCCTGAAGGAGGCCTTGTGGACTGGGTGGACACTGTAGGGACCAGAGATTCTTTCCCCCAAAAGGGAAGGTGAGATGTGAAGGTATTATTACCAGAGTGAGCTTGGAGATTCCGAGTCCTCTCACGCGCTGTGCCGCCCTCTCCAGCAGTGTCCTGGGGCTGAAGGATGGCTGCCCTCACTGTGCGAGGTGTGTGTTCTCTAGAAAAGCTTGGATTTCATAAGACAGTGATTCAGCTTGTTCTCAATGCCTAACCTAATTGTCAATATTAAACTGAATGTTGATGCAAGAACAGTGAAGTTCTTTGAATTCATTACAATTGCAGTTGTCAGTAAGAAACATTTGTTAGGGTACCTATGTTCTAGGCACTACAGATACAGAAAATGATGGTAACATTTCTAGAAGGCTTCAGAGTTTGCAAAGATCTTTTATATTTTTAATATAGAAACAAGCCTATAAGATCAGTGGGGCAGATATAATATATGAGGAAACTGATACTCAGAGGTGAAGGGACTTGCCCCGGGTTATGCAGGTAGTCATTCATGGAGCATACAGACTTGCATACAAGATGTCTAACATCTAATTTCCTGTACTTTCCATTGTATCTAGATGATAATTGTTATGGAGTCTGTCTTTGAAGAGCTTATTTTTGAATTAGTCTCTTAAATTTTTTTTGTGGAACATCATGAATTGTTTTTGGTGGGAATCAGTAAAAACTGAGAAAGGGTTAAAGGTTACTTGTGTGTTAATGAGGTTGGGCTAAGCACATACTCAGGTACTTTTAATGCTGTTTTAACTAAAATAATGAGCAGAGAGAGGAGAGAAAGAGTTGGTCATAGAAGATTACAAGAAAAGAGAAAATGAGCATAAGGTAAAGAAAATAGAGTCATTAAATGTGTTCTTATTCTTCTACAGAATATACAGTTAATTGCTGGTTTATAAATGGTTTTGAGATAGCTGACTTCCTTTGAAAGTGCCCCTTCAGTTACTGATATTTCTAAGATGTTTATTGTTTGATCCATCTAAGATGGTTCAGTTACTCTTGACCTGGTCACGAGTTTTCTCCTCCTCCCCTGAAGTAAAAAGTATCTACAGAAACAGTAAACTGAGGAGTGGAATATCATTTTAAATTTTATTATGAAAAATAAAGGAATGGAATATCATTTTAAATTTTATTGTGAAAAAATTAGCATTTTATTATGATTTTATTTATTATGTAAAATTATGTTCCTAATTGTTCTAAAGCCAGATTCCCTCCTTTTCCCTGTTATTTTGCCCTAGAATATAAGGTTGACATCTGATACTCAGATATTTTATGTAGAAATTTTAGAGGCTGTAAATCTTTAATATTTTGAAACTGGAAAAGAGCCCTCCCTACAAATTGTTCACCACCATATATTAATACTTGATCTTTTACAAAGCATTTTTTGAGGTGTATGAAATATAATGCATACATAAGTAAGATATACATGTAGAGTTGAGCAAATAATTATAAGACAGACACCTGCATTATCACCACACAGGTTAAGAAGCAGAACACTGCTGGCATCCACCAACCTTCCCCCACCAGCTGCCCCTCTCAGTTCACAAGCCTTCTCCTTTCCCTTGGAGGTAACTACTATCATATTATTCTCTTGTTTTTTAAAGAACAGCATGATTGCTTATATATACAGCCTTAAACAATATTGGTTAATTGTGTTTTGAACTTTGTATAAATGGAATCATACTGTGTACATTCTTTTGTGTCATAATTTTGTCTTTCAACATATAATGCATGTGATTAATTTGTTACAGATGATCTTGTAAAATATATATTATTAGCCCATTTTACAGTTGAGAATATAGTGGCCCAAGAGGGTTAAGATTGACTTCCCGATATTGTAGGCTAGATGCTGGGATAAAAATGCTCAAGTCTCCTTACACCCTTGAAGTGGGTATCAAAGAAACCTGGTCTGCCAGCTGAAGTGTTTAACCTGTGTAAGTATGGAACTTAGTGAACCCCTGTCTACAACATTTTTACTAAATATAACCTCTGTAAGGGCACAGATACCCGTCTGTTTTGTTCACTGCTGTATTCCCAGTATCTGGTACATATAGACACCTAGCAAATATTTGGTGAGTGAGTAGCTACTGTCAGCTGAATGCCATGAAGCATACTGTATGGATGAAAGAAGTAGCATTAATATTTAGCTAGTTCTCTTATTGTGTTGATAAGAGGGCTCTTAACCCTCATCCTTCATAAATGTACTGGGTCCAGTTATGTATGCAAGGCATTCTGGTTGATAGGTAATGTAAATAGAAGACATCAGTGTTTTCTTTTGATGCATAACAAATTACTACAGATGTAGTGGCTTAAATTTAGTGTTTCACTCTTTTATTATCTCCCAGTTCTGTAGGTCAGAGTCCATCGTGTGACTAGGTTCCCTGCTCAGGATCTCACAAGGCTGAAATCGGGGTTGGCTGGCTGTCTTCTCATCTAGAGCTCAGGGTCCACTTTTAAGCTCATTCCTGTTGTTTGGCAGAATTCAATTCCTTACAGCTATAGGACTGAGGTCCCGGTTTCCTACTTGACTTTTGGCCGTGAGCTGCTCTCATTGACTTACGGTCACTCTCCAGTTGTTGGTTGTGACCCCCTTCCATCTTCACAGCCAGCAGTGGTGAGTCAAGCCTTTCCCCTTCTGCAGCTGGTGCAGGGGGGCAGGGGCTGGTAGGGATCTGCCTTTGAAGGGCTCATGCGATTAGATTAGGCCCATCAGGGAAGTCCAGGATCATCTTCCTATTTTAGAGCCAACTGATTAGTAATCATAACTGCAGCTGCCAAGTCCCCTTGCCATGTAAAGTAACTGGGCGTGCTCTCTTATATTCACAGTCCCAGGGGTTAGGGAAGGAAGTCTTCAGAGGCCAGTTTTAGAATTCTGCCTAACACAAGTAATAATGATGCTCTATAACAGAAGCTCTGTGACAGCTTAGGTGCAGTCTAGGGTCGTTTGGGACTTACTCCTTAAGAGGTATATCAAATGCTTATGATATGATAGAGGCTAGGTGTAGATGTACATTTACTATTTGCTTCCCTGGGTTGGAGTTCTTTGGTTCTTTTGGTTTATGGTCGACCCTTGAACAACACAGGTTTGAACTGCACAGGTCTGCCCATACTCAGATTTTTTTCAATAAGTATACTGTCGGTCCTGTAACCACGGGTATGGAGGACGGACTGTAAGGGGCTTGAGCATCCTCGGATTTTGGTATCCACAGTGGGTACTGGAACCAATCCTCTGTGGATACTGAGGGACAAGTGTACTTGTATTCATGATTTTCTGCCTTTTGGTAGCTGTTAGGACAATTTCCAAACCCCAGCAGTGTAACATAGACGGTCTCCTACTTAAGGACAAGATAGATTCTAGTGAATAAATGGTTTTATGTTTAAGTCCATAGTGACTCAGTGAGGGGTTATTTAAGATTGCTTCCCTGAATGTAATTCTCCCAGATACGAAAACCTGGCTCTAAAACTATTGTCCTTATTTCAAATACATATTCTATGAGGAGTCTTTTTCAAACATAGAACAATTTTGACTGCATTGAAAAATGTTGAGGTGGGAAATCTCCATCCTTGATGATCTTCACAAGTGTTAGAAGGAGGACCTCTTAGCAACCTTGGCATCTACACTTAGCAGCCCATCAGTCTTTCTTAGATTGTGTGGATTGGAAAAGGTTGTATCTGTAGTCATCCCTGGTTGGTGCATCAGTAACAGTTTCACTCCCTTCTTCTAAATTATGTCAGAGTTCTTTTATTTAATGAGTCATTTTTTTATCCTTGCTTGCTAATTGATGATTTTATAGATACTGCATTTTTTACATGTCACATTTTTATTTTTTCGCTTACGAAATGTCAATAAAATTTTTCATTTTTTATAGTTTTGTATTGTCAGTTCTTTTTTGACCATTATTTTACCATTTTCAATTTTAAGGTAATCTTTTATTCCCATTGCAAAACATTGTTTTTGACCCACTATGCAGTAGAGTTAATAGTGTTAAAACTAAAAATTAAGCCCAAGCATAGGAAGCATCTTTTAATAGAGAAAATGAACTAAAATAAGTAATTTGCTGCTTACCAGCACTGCCTTTTGGTTGTAACAGAGTTCAGAGCTCTTGCTCCTGAACACATTTTGTTTCTGACTTTGAGAATTTGTAAGTGGAAAGTTTGTACATACAGGTATCTTTCTATTCCGGCTCCCAGAAAAGATGACTTGGAGAAGACAGTGTTTAAATCTAAATCTGACCACCTACGTTATTTGCCATTTCTGGTTTTTTAAAGTATCTTGTCTATAACCAAATCATAATTGAATGCTAGAGGGTTGAAGAGTGCTCCTCTTGGGTGCTCTTCCCAAGGCCTAACCATTTCCAGAGTGGTTGGGTATTTGAACAGGTTAAAGAAAAAGAACATATTTAGGTATATCTTTTAGGCAGTTGAGTGAAATTATGCAGTGAGACTCCAAACTATGCTGAGTTAAAATATTCATTTAAAAAATTTATTAAGGTGGACTCCATTAAAAGCAATACATGAGTACATTCTCACTGAGGAAGAGTCAAACAATATATAAGTCCTGTATGTGGAGTGAAATGGGAAAGTCTCCCTGGATTCCTACCTTGCACAGATCCCTTTCCCTCAGCAGAGAGAAGGGAAGCCCTATTAGGTGAATTTTGCTGGTCATTTCTGTTTACATATACATGCAGTGGCTATATTGAGACGTTAACTTTGTTGATGTAAAACATTTGAGCACATAATTAGCATATCATGTTGAAATTATGGTACTGAATTGCTGATTTTTCAGTATCAAGTAAGTTGTGTATTCTAGAAATGTGTATATATGGCTTAAGGGAAGATTAGAGGAGCAAATATCATCATCATGTTGGATGGAAGTTCTGGAAGTAGGTATTCAGAACTTAAAGATAATAAATGTGTCACTTCTGATTGTTGATCTAGAGCCTGGCCAAATTTAGTCATTTAAAAAAATTTTGTTCTTTCTTTTTTTTTTTTGGCAGTGCTGTGTGGCTTGTGGGATCTTAGTTCCCTGAGGGATTGAACCCAGGCCCACGGCAGTGAAAACTCCGAGTCTTAACCACTGGACTGCCAGGGAATTAAAAAAAATTTAATTTAAATTTAAATATGATATACGTGCTGACTGGTGAATGTAAAGGTGAATTCTCACAAAGTGAGCGCACCTGTGTACCCAGTAAACAGAGTGCTCCTACCAACCAGGAACCTCTGTTCCGCAGTCGCTGAAGTTAACTGCTGTCCCGGCTTCTACAACACCTAATTCTGACAGCCCTTTTACATCTAGTTTTACTAGGATAGGCTTGTGATCAGTTAAGATTTAAATTATGTCATGAACTAGGACTATTTTTTCTAAAGGCATTTTTAGCTGAAACCTGGAGGGACCCCAGGCTGATCCGGGAGCTCATGTAGTAGCTTACTTTGAAGCTCCTTCTCCATTGATGACTTGTTCCCTCTCCCCTCCACCAAACCATGTCAATTCTCTATAGAATTTGTGTCCAGATAAATTAAAAAATTTTTCTTTCTTAGATAGTGTATATTCAAGTCTCTACTTTCTTTGTAATACAGGTGAATATTTTTTATGTTATTGCTGAAAAATAGCTCTTATATCTGTACTATTTTATTTAATCTTCCAGTCTATAAAGGTTCATTATGATATCTAAGTTGACTTAAAGTAACTTAATAGTTTCTTTTTTTTTTAACATCTTTTTTGGAGTATAATTGCTTTACAATGGTGTGTTAGTTTCTGCTTTATAACAAAGTGAATCAGCTATACATATACATATATCCCCATATCTCCTCCCTTTTGTGTTTCCCACCCACCCTCCCGATCCCTAAAATAACTTAATAGTTTCTTATTGTAACTGTTTTTGCTATAAAGAAACCTGGCACAGTGATATTACACTATTTGGGTGATATTTTTGCTTCACCATGTTTGTTTTTTAAGTATGTAAATAAAATTTTAAATATTTAATATAATAGTAATCGAACAAATATATATACATGGATACATGGAGATATTTTATTGGTTACTAATTACAATTAAAAATAAACAATGAAAGAATTTGGAGGGAACATAGGAAAGTCTGACTGAGGCCTCCCAGACAATGACATCACGTGGAGAGGGCTGCTTGCTCTTTTTGGGGTGAGGATACAAGGTAAAGAGTCAGAGCATGTGAGGTTGATTTCCCACCTCCCTTCTATCACCATTGTGTCGGGTAAGTGTCTTTCATTCTGTGTATGTATCTATATAATCCTAAACTGCAAAAATGAAATAAGGATTTTTCATTTTTTAATGCCAGACTTGAGTTAAATCTTTTGTTTTAAAGTAGTATCTTCAATGAATATGAAAACCTTAACAATTTAACTAGAGATATCTATGCTTTATGTGTGGCCTATCCTGAACCCCTTGGAGAAAGACTTTATACAGAAACTAAGATTTTTTTGGAAAATCACGTACGGCATTTGCACAAGGTAAGGATTGATATATACATGATGTAAATGTGTTTATGGCTACATAGTTATTTGACTAGTTCACTGTTTTCCAGTGCAGAACTTGTATCAGGTTAAGGTTATTTGTTTTGTTTCCTAATTAGCATTTTTCTAATATGTGTATAAGAGCTTTGGGTCAAGCTCTGTGTTAGGTTCTCCAAGGGAAGTCAGTTTAGTTGCTCCAGATCATACAACTAGTAAGTTAAAGAGTAGGGTTTCAAATCAAGATGTGTTCAATTTGAAATCAAGTGCTTACATATATCCTCTGGATGGTGTTTATAGAACCAAGTTTTCTTTACTGTTGCTTCCCACCTCTTGGTGAATCTCTGTCTTTATATTCAACATTTTAGCTGCCTCTTCATATCCTATATAAGGTCTTTAAAAACCTAGAATTAAAAAGGAGAATGGTAAATTAAAAAGTATGATAGAAAGCCTCTGTGACCAGTTATTTTGGTCAGTGTGCCATGTGCATGAGGGCGACATCACCGACTTGATCTCTGTATAAGCAGTGAATGAATTTTGTAGTATTTGGCTCCACGCAGCATTTCTGACTTCTTTTGGATTACTGATCTTATCAGGAACTGGATGAGATCATTTATTCTTTGAACTAGAAACTTGACTACCTTCTTTTCCCCCCCAGTATTTTATTTTATTTATTTTTTAAAATTTTTTATTTTATATTGGAGTATAGCCAATTAACAATGTTGTGATAGTTTCAGGTGCACAGCAAAGCAACTCAGCCATACATATACGTGTATCCATTCTCCCCGAAACTCCCTTCCCATCCAGGCTGCCATATAACATTGAGTAGAGTTCCGTGCACTATACAGTAGGTCCCTGTTGGTTATCCATTTATTTTATTTATTTTATACATCTTTATTGGAGTATAATTGCTTCACAATGCTGTGTTAGTTACAGTTGTACAACAAAGTGAATCAGCCATATGCATACGTATATCCCCATATCCCCTCCCTCTTGTGTCTGCCTCCCACTCTCCCTATCCCACCCCTCTAGGTCATCACAAAGCGCCGAGCTGATCTCCCTGTGCTATGCTGCTGCTTCCCACTAGCTATCTGTTTTACATTTGGTAGTATATATATATATGTCGATGCTACTCTTGCTTCACCCCAGCTTCTCCCTCCCCCAATGGTGTGTCCTCAAGTCCATTCTCCATGTCTGCATCTTTATTCCTGCCCTGCCACTAGGTTCATCAGTACCATTTTTTAAAAAAATTCCACATATATGCGTTAACATATGGTATTTGTTTTTCTCTTCCTGACTGACTTCACTCTGTATGACAGGCTCTAGGTCCATCCATGTCACTACAGATTACTCAATTTCATTTCTTTTTATGGTTGAGTAGTATTCCATTGTATATATGTGCCACATCTTCTTTATCCATTCATCTGTCGATGGACACTTAGGTTGTTGCTTCCATGTCCTGGCTGTTGTAAATAGTGCTGCAGTGAACATTGGAGTACATGTCTCTTTTTGAATTATGGTTTTCTCAGGGTATATGCCCAGTAGTGGGATTGCTGGGTCATATGGTAGTTCTATTTTTAGTTTTTTAAGGAATGTCCATACTGTTCTCCATAGTGGCTCTATCAATTTACATTCCCACCAACAGTGCAGGAGGGTTCCCTTTTCTCCACACCCTCTCCAGCATTTATTGTTTCTACATTTTTTGATAAGGGCCATTCTGACCAGTGTGAGGTGATACCTCATTGTAGTTTTGATTTGCATTTCTCTAATAGTGATGTTGGGCATCTTTTCATGTGCCTTTTGGCTATGTGTATGTCTTCTTTGGTGAAATGTCTATATAGGTCTTATGCCCATTTCTTAATTGGGTTGCTTGCTCTTTTGATATTGAGCTCCATGAGCTGTTTGTATAGTTTGGAGACTAATCCTTTGTCTGTTGCTTCATTTACAAATATTTTCTCCCATTCTGAGGGTTGTCTTTTCGTCCAGTTTATGGTTTACTTTGCTGTGCAAAAGCTTTTAATTAGGTTCCATTTGTTTATTTTTGTTTTTTCATTACTCTAGGAGGTGGGTCAAAAAAAGATCTTGCTGTGGTTTATGTCAAAGAGTGTTTTTCCTGTATTTTCCTGTAAGAGTTTTATAGTATCCGGTCTTACATTTAGGTCTTTAACCCATTTGGAGTTTATTTTTGTGTATGGTGTTAGGTAGTATTCTAATTTCATTCTTTTACATGTAGCTGTCCACTTTTCCCACCACCACTTATTGAAGAGGCTGTCTTTTCTCCATTGTATGGTCTTGCCTCCTTTGTCGTAAATTAGGTGACCGTATGTGCATGTGTTCATCTCTGGGCTTTCTATCCTGTTCCATTGATTATATTTCTGTTTTTGTGCCAGTGCCATACTGTCTTGATTACTGTAGCTTTGTAGTATAGTTTGAAGTTGGGGAGCCTGATTCCTCCAGCTCCGTTTTTCTTTCTCAAGATTGCTTTGGCTATACGAAGCCAGCATCACCCTGATACCAAAACCAGAAAAAGATATCACAAAAAAGAAAATTGTAGACCAATATCACTGATGAACATAGATGCAAAAATTCTGAACAAAATACTAGCAAACAGAATCCAACAACATATTAAAAGGATCATACACCATGATCAAGTGGAATTTATCCCAGGAGTGCAAGGATTCTTTAATATACACAAATCAATCAATGTGATACACCAAATTAACAAATTAAGGAATAAAAACCATACGATCATCTCAGTAGATGCAGGAAAAGCTTTTGACAAAATTCAACACTTATTTATGATAAAAACTCTCCAGAAAATGGGCATAGAGGGAACCTACCTCAGCATAGTAAAGGCCATATATGGCAAACCCACAGTAAACATCATGCTCAATGGTGAAAAACTGAAAGCGTTTCCACTAAGATCAGCAACAAGACAAGGATGTCCACTCTTGCCACTCTTATTCAACATAGTTTTGGAAGTCCTAGCCACGGCAATCAGAGAAGAAAAAGAAATAAAAGGAATACAAATTGGAAAAGAAGAAGTAAAACTGTCACTGTTCACAGATGACATGATACTATACATAAAAAATCCTAAAGATGCCACCAGAAAACTACTAGAACTAATCAATGAATTTGGTAAGGTTGCAGGATACAAAATGAATGCACAGAAATCTCTGGCATTCCTATGTACTAACAATGAAAAATCAGAAAGAGAAATTAAGGAAACACTCCCATTTACCATTGCAACAAAAAGAATAAAATACCTAGGAATAAACCTACTTAAGGAGGTGAAAGACTTATACTCAGAAAACTATAAAACACTGATGAAAGCAATCAAAGATGACATAAACAGATGGAAAAATATACCATGTTCTTGGATTGGAAGAATCAGTATTGTGAAAATGACCCAAAGCAATCTACAGATTCAGTGCAATCCCTATCAAACTATCAATGGCATTCTTCGCAGAATTAGAACAAAGAATTTTACAATTTGTATGGAAACACAAAAGAACCCGAATAGCGAAAGGTTATCCATTTTAATTATATCAGTGTGTACATGTCTATCCCATACTCCCTAACTATCCCTTTCCCCCATCCTTCCCCCCTGGTAACCATAAGTTCCTTCTCTAAGTCTGTGGAAGCTTGACTACCTTTTGTTAGCCCTGTGACCCTGGACAGCTCACCTAACCTACCGTGTAGATTGAACTTCATGTTCCTTTATCTGTAAAATGGAGATAAAGTAACACAGTCTGTGTAATAATATGTCTAACCCTGTACATGACTAGGAGTAGATCTTTTTCAAATGGTAATAACCCATAAGTAGAGCACAATTGATCCTGTGATATTTCCCTTATAACATTTGAAGAAAAGCTCAGTTTTTCAAAGCCTATTTTATCTATCTGTTTATTTTCTTTTATTTTGTTTTCATTGAAATGTAGTTGACATACAATATTTTGTAAGCTCAGATTTTCAGAGCCGATTTTATCTGTTTATTTTCTTTTCATTGGAATATAGTTGACATACAATATTTTGTTAGTTTCAGGTGAACTACATAGTGATTCAACATTTACATACATTATGAAATGATCACCAAATTAAGCCTAGTTACCATCTGTTCTTATACAAAGTTATTACAATATTATTGACCATATTCCTTGCACTCTACGTTACATCCCCATGACTTATTTATTTTCTAACTGGAAGTTTGTACCTCTTAATCCCTTTCACCTTTTTGGCCCCCTACTCCAGCCTTCTCCCCTCTGGCAACCACCTGTTTGTTCTCTGTATCTCTGAGTCTGTGTCTATTTTGTTTTGCTAGTTCGTTTGTTTTTCAGATTACACATATGAGTGAGATGATGCGGTATTTGTCTTTCTCTGTGTGACTTATTTCACTTAGCATGATACCCTCTGGGTTCATCCACGATGTTTTAAATGGCGAGATTTCATTCTTTATATGGCTGAGTAATATCCCATTGTATATATATATACCACATCTTCTTTATCCATTTGTCTATTGTTGGACACTTAGGTTGCTTATGTGTCTTGGCTATTTGTAAGTAATGCTGCTATAACTGCTATGAACATTGCGGTGCATGTATCTTTTTGAATTAGTGTTTTCTTTTTCTTCAGGTAAATACCCAGGAGTGGAATTGCTGGCTCACATGGTAGTTCTGTTTTTAATTTTTTGAGGAACACCCTGTTTTCCATACTGGCTGCACCAGTTTACAGTCCCATCAGTAGTGCATGAGGGTTCCCTTTTCTATAGATCCTTGCCAGCACTTGCTATTTCTTGACTTTATTTATTTATTTATTTTTGGCTACGTTGGGTCTTCGTTGCTGCACACGGGCTTTCTCTAGTTGCGGCAAGCGGGAGCTACTCTTCATTGTGGTACGTGGGCTTCTCATTGTGGTGGCTTCTCTTGTTGTGGAGCACGGGCTCTAGGCGTGTGGGCTTCAGTATTTGTGGCACGTGGGCTCAGTAGTTGTGGCTCGCAGGCTCAGTAGTTGTGGCACACGGGTTTAGTTGCTCCACGGCAAGTGGGATCTTCCCGGACCAGGACTCGAACCCGTGTCCCCTGCATTGTCAGGCAGATTCTTAACCACTGCGCCACCAGGGAAGTCCTATTTCTTGACTTTTGATGATAACCATTCTGACAGGTGTGAGGTTATAGCTCATTCTGTTTTTGATTTGCAGGAAATGCTCTACTTTTCATTTTATATGGCAGATACATTTTAGTGTTCTAGTATGTGCATTTATCAGTTTATGAAAGTGGTTTTAATGACAAGTAATTTAACTTAGTCTTAACATTTTTCATATGTTAGTTTTGAAGTTAAAGTTCTGCTGTTGTGAGCTGGTTAGCTTTGGTTATAATATACTAGATAACTGTGTGAGTCATTTATAAATTTTGCAATTTTATGTTTTAACGTAGGTTGTAAATGTGATTTTTAAAAACTTTTTATTTTGAAATAATTTTAAGCTTATAGAAAAGTTGCAAAAATAATACAAAGACTTCTCAAATACTTTTTACCCAGCTTCATAATATTAACATCTTGCGTAACAGTGGTACAATTATTAAAACCAAGAAATTAACATTGGTATAATTGTGTGATTGAAAAATTACAATTGTGAAGTATTTTATGAAAGTTTAGAATATTTATATAATTGTATACCATATTTTCTCTCAAGTCCAGTGACAAAAAAAGAAGTTGGCTATTATGTAGATGACAAAGTAAATTGTTAATATAGCCAACAGAACTGAAAAGTTTCACCTGTGAGAACTTTTTAAATTACTAAAGTATTGCATTATGTTGTAGATCATTTAGAACATACTGATAAGGAAAAAGAAAATAAACATCACCCATAACATACCTCCGGAATTAACCACTGTTAATACTTTTGATATATCTATTTTTAAATATATCTTTTTTTGATACATATTAACAAAAATATAATTTGATATATGTCTTTTGCATATTTTTGTTTTGTGTAGACTTCCATTTTTTATTAGAAAATGAAGTCATGTTGTATACTTTATAATGTGCTTTTTGCTTTTAATAATATTGTAGGTCTCTTTCTTTGTCATTAAATAGACTTTTGTAATTCTGGCAGTGATTGTAAAATTTTTCATTTTGTGGAGATACTGTGATTTGTTTAAATATTCCTATATTGCTGGGCATATAGATTATTTCCAGTTCATAAAGTTGTGATTATAAACAATACTTCCATGAACACCCTTGTAGCTAAGTTATTCTTGTGTTACCAAGTTTTTTTACAGGGTAAGTCCCTAGACGTGGCATTACTGGGTCATAAGTCATGAACATTTCCCTCCATATCTCTGTGTTCCGAATTGGTGGATATGGAGGCCCGGCTGTAGGGACTTGAGCACCTGCGGATTTTGGTATCCATGGTGGGGTCCTGGAAACAATTCCCCACTGATGTTGAGGAACAACCGTAGTAAGAAATTGTTCTTAGATTTATATTCTATCCAACCAGCAGCAGTAGTTCCTAAGTGGGCCCTATTCCCCAGCATTATTAATAGTGGTTGCGATTTTTAATTTATTTACCATATGATAGGCAAAAAAGTACTATTTCTAGGCTATTCCTATCATCCTGAGACTTAATTGGTAAAACTCCATGTTTAAAAGCATAGCTTTTATCAAGAGTTAATTGGATGAGTGTTGAGGTCATGTCTTGCCTAAGGTCACGCGGACGGTTGATGGAAGAACCGAAGTAAGAGCAGCGGTGGCCTCGGGAATGTCTGTCCTGTCCAGTGGATTTTTATTGTTAGACTGGATTTCCATTAAAATTAACTTTTTAAACATCAGCCCTCAGATTTCAGTTTGATTTTCATTTTTCAAAAAATAGTAGGTTTTTATTAAATAAATATAAAATAACTTATTTGGGGAATATGGAAAATGTGTCAATTTTCATAAGTAGTCTTATTCACAATAGTGAATAATATGAGGTGATGACATAACTGCAGGCTGATCAAAAGTGATGGACGTGAGGAAACACAATAGAATTACATTCTGTTTTCATCTGATCTAATATTCTAGCCCAAAGAACAGCATCAAACCATTATATTTTGTTTTTTTATCTTAGAGAATGAAACAGTTACTCTCTAGTATGGACGCTTCACTTTCATATCTAAGATTCACATTTTTTTCTATCTCTTTAATTGTTACTAAAGATAGTTAAAAATAAGAATGTAATTTGTAAATGTAATATATAGTGCTTGAATTATGTCACTTATTTAAGAACATTAGTTTTTGATAAATTTCATAGCTTACAAATGAAAATGATTAGTGCTTTCTGAGTAAAAAATATTTTTCTTCTTTTTTTAGAGAGTTCTGGAGTCTGAAGAGCAAGTACTTGTTATGTATCATAGGTACTGGGAGGAATACAGCAAGGGTGCAGACTATATGGACTGCTTGTATAGGTAAGTACACTTTTAGACTCTCGACAGTCTAAACAGTATTGCCTGCATTTGGTAATTGCAGGAGTTTTTTGTTTTTACTACCTACTACCCATGAAAATGAGCAGAACTAAAGCATTACCTGATGTATGGACTTTTCTCTGCTATGGGGAAAGGTCTGTAGTGTGGGTCATGTGGGTATTTGGGAGCCAGGCAGTGTATGGAAACTTATTCTGTGAAAACTAAAACTGTATTTGATGGCATAGCTCTGTTTCTTCAGTTGTCTGGGACTGTGTAACACACATTAAATCTTGACAGATCCGAAGTGAAACTTCAGCTTGGATGAAACTTTTAGTGAATCTAAGCTCGTGCCCCCCTCTAGCATGCTCTTGTTTGACTCTAGGGTTCAGCATTTTATGTTTCATGGAAGTACCTGGCAGTTTTCTCTTGACGTTCTCCCGCCCTTTCCTCTAGACGTACTGAATTACTGGCAGTGTTGTGATTCCTTGTGGTCTCATATCATCCCGCCTTTCCTTGTGCTATTCTGTCTGTCTGGATTGCTTTTCTTCCTTTCCCTGAATGACTAGTTCCCATTCCCCGCTCTGAACTCCCCTCTCCTTGCCTCAGTCTCCTGCTTAGATCTTTGGTGTTAACTGCCACTCATGTATGTTCCTGTGGCACCCTGGGCTGGTCCTCTCTAACTCATTCACGTAGACGGTGGAAATAAGTACAGTACCTAGGTACACAGGCAGAGACCCATTTGTTGAAGGACAGTGGATAAATAGGGAATAGTGCTGTTAAGCACCTGGGCCTTGTGGCCTGTGATGGTTGCAGTGATAATTTTGCCCTGTGCATTGTGGCTTGGGCCACAGATGAACCCCTGCCTCAGTTTCTTGCTGGAGAAGAGGAGTAGAGCTAGGTCTCAAAGCGTTTCCTGCACAGGTGCATGGGGCCAAGGCATGGTCGCCTTGGTGTGTCTGTCCTTTGCTTTACTGGTTCGTATTCCCTTTGGTTTTTATAACAACACTGGACTTTACTAGATGTAAGCTGCCTATGTTGGAAACTGGAACTCACTTCTAAATGGCCAGTAGCTCTATTTCCTCTTAGAAGAGCAAAATATAATAAAACCAGAAACCAACAATTGCTAACATGGGCAAGGTTCGCTGGGGCTTTGGCTTTTACAGAACATGTCTGCCATCCATTAAACATCCTGACATTTGATTTCCCCCCTCCATCCACCAAAGTGGCCTAGTCATAAATAAAACTTTAAGAATTCCTTAGCTAAACCGTGGGGGAGAGCGGGGGGAGTTTTAAGGATCAGGGTGAGAGCATACGCGTGTTTTTGTCACTGCTGAGAAGCTGGGGCCACTGGTATATGGATGACAAAACAGTGCTTCGACTGTGTGCCGTGCAGTGGATCCCTCGTTAGCTGAGATACTTCAGTAAAGATTCAAGTTGTTTTTCTGTTCTTTCTTAGTTTTCTGGGGCACCGTTCTCTTGGTTCTCCTGCACCTCTCTTTACCAAAATCAAATTGGTATTATTGAAAGTAGTACTATTAAATTGGTACTGTTGATGAGCTTTTATTAAATTTTGCAATATATGATATATACACATATGTATGTGTATATATAAAGCCATATGAGATAGTTGGTTTTTTACAATGGAGGAAAACTAAGAGTCAGAGAGGTCAAGGTCCCTGAGCTGGAAAAATTACAAGGGCAGAATTTAAACCCAGATCAGTCTGAATAAATCCATTTAACTTCTTCATTCTACCTAGCCTCATTCTAGAGAGTCATTGCAGTCACTTACATAGGTTCTATTCTCATCCTTTAGCTACACTCTGCATTCTTTCTAGGATGATCTCTATTACTCCTGGTTTTAGCTACAACCTATATATTGATAACCACCAAAATAAATGTTTATTGAAGGTGGTCTAAGTTTCAGAGGAATATTCTTACCTAGCTGCCTGTACCTCCAGGATGTTCCGTGGGTACATCGTACTACTGCAGATGTTCACAACTGAGCTTGTTATCTTTTACACACACGCTGCCCCAGAAATACTCATTTTGGTTAATGGTAGTCCTGGACATCCAGATGTATAGGCCGGAAGTCTCAGTTATCCTTCACCTAGGGTTATCCTCTCTACCTGACCCCTCTTGGTCAGATCCTCCAAATGTCTCTTAAATTTATTATTTCCTTTGCAGTGCTATTATAGTATTGTAGTTCAAGCTTTTTATTGTTTCGGACCTGGACTATTATTGATAACATCCCTGTAACCAGTCTCCCAGCCTTTGATTTCTAATTTATTCTATTTAGTAAACTTCTCAAGTGCAAATTTGATCACCGTCCAAAATCACTTAGTAACTTTCCACTGTCTGTAGTAAAGACTTAGAACCAATGGCTCATGGGGTTCACTTATAGAGTGTTTTGTTTGACCTCTGTGGGATTGGCTTCATGTGACTGATTTATTTAATTATATTGGTAGACTGGGTGGTGAGATCCTTCTCATAGAGGGTACATTTGATTAGATAATTAGATAAAAACTGTAATTAGTATAAAAACTAGATAATTAGATAAAACCTGCTTGATAGTCTTTGCTTGTTGGGTAGTAGGTTATCCAGGCTATCTCTTGTTATTAATCTTAGTCTATAAGGAAATCTGTGTGAAGAAATGTAAAGGAAAAAAATCAGTTTTATTTCAAAGCATTTTTCGGTATTATTGTTTTGAAGTAATTTCTAGCCTTTTCTTTACTCTGATTGATTTATAAGATGGATATGCATTAGCATAGGTGACTTAAGGATTCCAATTTTAAAGAAAAATAATGATGCTCCTACGCCACCTTTCCTGCTGCTACATATCTGTTTAGGCCCTGCGGGCCCTTGAAGTGGGATACTTAAAGTATTACCTTGAGAACTAACGACTCTTGAAATCCAGTAGGTATTAGTATGGGAACAGTTCTTATAATAGATTTTTTTAAAGATAGATTGAAATGCCTGATTTCTTAGAGGCTTCACAGTTACCTTAGGCTATTAGTTCTTGTTAGTTAATACTGTTGTGTTACTGCTGATACTCCAGAAAAGCAAAGGATACTTATCAATCACTTTGTTGCCAGAATAAATTATAAAAACATGTACTACTGCATGAGTTAGACCTGAGCAGAACAGTCAGGTATTGACTGTGTGGTAGAGTATTGACTATTTAAAGAAATTATTGAAAGTTATTTTACTTTACGATTTCCTAGAATATATATCTTTATTTAAAAACAAATGTGTGGTTAATAAATCTCATTGTAAAATACTACAGTGACTTAGAAATTAAGAATGGCGTCTGAATCAAAGTGAAAAATTATGCTACTTACATTTTAAATCATATCTATAAATTATTTTAAAAGCTTCTCTATCAAGCTTAAACTGTCAAGAGTAGAAATCTAATGAGAAGAATATAGATGATGAAAGTTAGTGTAAAATTTATTCCATGCGGGAAAGAGAATAGTGACTTGTCCTATCAGATATAAAACGTATAAAGCTCCACTAAAACAGTGTATTGGCTGTGGAATATACACACAGATCTCTAGTGAATCCAGACTTCTGCAGATCTAGCAGCTACTCTTCAGAGTCAGCAAACTCCTACGCTGAGAAGTTTACACTTACTGTATAGGAATAAGGGGGCTGCTGTAGGCTTCTGAATAGGGAGTTGATATCCTGAAAGCAGAATTTTTAGGTAAATTGGATATGCCAGAAATGGGAAATAGAGATCAGTCATGAGAATGTTGCACATGATCCAAGCAGAGAGTCAACGAATGGCATTGACAGTGAAAAGGAAAATAATGGGAGGAGGTGAGGAATAGTGTGAGAGAACAGGAGGACCAGCTGAGTAAAGGAGGTAAACGGAAGGATGAGATAAGTGATGCTAATGTTTTAGGTAGGATTACTGGGATGGCCATGGTACAGTGACCAGAAAAGGAATGGTTTGGAGCAAAGGGTCTTATAGAAAGGCACATGTAATGGTGCAGATATGACTAAGTTCCCCCTACTCGGCACTTTTCACTGTTGATATGTTACATTTGTTTATGTTTTTATGTCCTACCAGATGGGTAAGCTCTCTGGGCAGAGACTACATTTTTGTTTTTCGTTTTTCTATCCTCAGTGCCTTGTCGTACCTGGCATGCAGTACGCACTTGGTCAGTACTTGCTGAATGAGAGTGGGAGACCTCGTGAGTTTTCTGGCCCAGCTCTGCCACTTAGTAGCTGATGGACCTTTGCCGAGTTCTTTAAGCTGTCTAAGCTGCAATTTTCTTACACGTAAAATGAGGATCCTAATAGTACCCCATATATCTACCTCCTAGTATTCAGCCAGCTGCAATGCTTACGCCTGTCTCTGACACACGATAGGCGCTCCATAAGTGTCAGTGATTACTTTTATTTCCTGACATTCATGCTTTTATGATCTGTCTCCAGGCTGCTTTTCCAAGTTTGTGTTCTAATGTTAGCTTTTGCCATCCGTGCTGCTGGAACGTTACCCGTTTATTCATTTCGTAATTCGGAGAAGTATTTTTCGAGGACTGCCTGTCTGCCTGCCACTGTTCTGGACACTGTCTGCCAGACCTCACATTCTAGAGAGGAGGTGGATGTACAAAACCAGTAGACAAAGAAAAGAACAGGATTATTTCTCATAGTAGCAAGTGCTGTGAAGAAAACAGTTATGTATTAGATAGTTACTTCATTGGGGGTGGGAAGTGAAGGCTAGTTTGGTTTGGGGTCAGGTCAGGCCTGAGAGAGGTGTGTTTGAGCCGAGACCAGAGTGACAGAGGCCAGAGGTGAAATGCCCTACCCCAGGGAATCTGTTTCAGGTGAAGCAGCCGTTTCTCTCCAGCTCTTGCTTCCGTCTCAGTCCTGTTCCCCTTTTCTCAGCTGGAAGGCGTGGTGGAAGCACATCAGGAAATTATTAGGGTTACAGTGAGAATGGAAGGGAAAGCTAAATGCTATTTTGAAGGAAATGGCTTTGTAACCAGTGGACAGAAGAGACTAAAATGTCACATGGAGCACCAAGGTTGTAAGCCCTGGAGTCCAGAGCTGGAAGTGAGTGAATGTGGGAGGGAACTTGTGTAAGTGGTGGTGGCCATAGCGCTTTATTATTTTTCATCGTCTGCTAGGATTGTCAGTGGAGTTATGCAGTTGAAATTTTTGTTTTCTTTGCTTGCAGTTTCAGTTGTCTGAACATTCAGCAGACCTTTCATTTTGATTCAGTGAACGTGGGAAAGTGTGTGTTTTAATACAGAGATTTTGTGGTTGTTGCCTAAATACTTGTATTGTCAATAGCTATTTTCACCTTGGCAGAAGCTGTCAAACGAATAGTTTTAGGTGTTGAGCATTAAAGGCCTTGTGGTGAAATCTGGGATGGTGAAAAGTGATGCTTGAATATTACATGCCTTAGTACACATTTTATTTAATCTTAGAACTCTTTATTCATCTTAGTAGTTCTCAGAGTTCATCATAGTTATTAGTCTTTCTTTATAAAGCTGTTTACCCCTGGTAGACAAAGTGATCTTGAATCTGTCAGTTTTGCCCATACTTCTCACTGTCTGTAACAATCTATTGCATTTTCTCACCTACTGATTGTGATTTTTTTGTTTGTTTAAAAATGAAAAGTTATGTATTTAATGGTGATAAAATATAGAGAACTTTCTTGACTTTGATCTTTTAACCATTTTCTGTTTAATTCTTTGCAAAGTGAACTTGGCTTATTTAACAAGAAGAATCCGGGAATGAGCAAATTAGACTGTAGAGGGTTTACCCTTGGATAGGAGCTGTTGGGCTATAAGAGTATTGGAAAGTTTTAGAACAAAACCCCTGAGTTTTTTTAAGTGAGACTGTGGTAATAGGGGTTTTTTCTTTTTTGCTACTCTAGAGGTCTTACTCTTTGTCTCTTAGGGCCTAGCAAAGGGAGTTGGGCTGGTAATTTTTATCTTTTTTAAAAATTATATTTCTAATTTATATATAATTAGTTTCTTTTGGATGTATTACTGAACTACTCTACAGTTGATTATAACCCTAAAATTATTGCTCTAAAGTTGCACGTTACTTGTTTTCCTACTGATTTTGACAGTGTCTATTGATATTATGTTTGTTTTTCAGGTATCTCAACACCCAGTTTATTAAAAAGAATAAATTGACAGAAGCTGACCTTCAGTATGGTTATGGTGGTGTAGATATGAATGAACCACTTATGGAGATAGGAGAGGTAGGACATTCTTTAAATGACTGGCAAACATAAGAGTGTTTTTATATACTGAGGAAATTTGATTCACTGTCCTTTTCTTAAGGACACTGAGTGGACTATCTTAAAATTGTCAAGATTTAAAACATCCTAGGGAATAATTCCCTGGCGGTCCAGTGATTAAGACTCTGTGCTTCCAATGCAGGGGGACGCAGGTTCGATCCCTTGTTGGGGAACTAAGTTCCTGAAAGCTGCGTGGCCAAAGGGGAAAAAAAAATATCCTGAATGTTAAGTAAATGAAATACTGTTATGATTTCCTAAGAATCTTCGGATAGATGAGACGAACAGAAAAGATGTGATGAGTATTATTTTAATAGTTAAATTAATGATGGATGAATGACAGAAGGTTAATAGTTCTGCTGTATGAAAAATCTCATAAAAAATATTTAGAAAATGTTGAGACTCTTACGGTTGAAAAGTGTGAAGGACATGGACTTAAAAGAGAACCTACAAGAGAGGAAACACAAATTTGTGGATGCAACAAATTTATTTTAACTTTAAAAAGTAATTAAAGAGGGCTTCCCTGGTGGCGCAGTGTTTGAGAGTCCGCCTGCCAATGCTGGGGACGTGGGTTCGTGCCCCGGGCCGGGAAGATCCCACATGCCGCGGAGCGGCTGGGCCCGTGAGCCATGGCCGCTGAGCCTGCACGTCCGGAGCCTGTGCTCTGCAATGGGAGAGGCTACAACAGTGAGAGGCCCGCGTACTGCAAAAAAAAAAAAAAAAATTTAAGAAATTCAGAGTAAAACAATAAAGTGTGCAGTTCAACCAATTCACTCAAATTTTTGAGGTACAGTTCAGATTTAAATGTGGAAAATTATAATAATATATAAAACATATACTGACTATGCAAGAAATACTCTGGTGCGGTGTTTTTTAAAAAATTATTTATTTATTTTTGGCTGTGTTGGGTCTTCGTTTCTGTGCGAGAGCTTTCTCTAGTTGTGGCAAGCGGGGGCCACTCTTCATCACGGTGCGCGGGCCTCTCACTGTCGTGGCCTCTCGTTGCGGAGCACAGGCTCCAGACGCACAGGCTCAGTAGTTGTGGCTCACGGGCCTAGTTGCTCCGCAGCATGTGGGATCTTACCAGACCAGGGATCGAACCTGTGTCCCCTGCATTAGCAGGCAGATTCTCAAGCACTGCACCACCAGGGAAGCCCTAGTGCAGTGTTTTTTTATTCATGTCGTACATATTTATCGAGTCGCCAGACATTGGGGATACAATGGTGAACAGACAGAAGGTCCGCTCTCCTCATGGGGAAGCAGATGCCAACAAAGTAGAGAAATTAATGTTAAATTTTGTTGGGTGTCAGTGAAGGAAATAAACAACTAAGATGCAGCATTAGTAGAAATTTAAATTAGAATAACCCTTTTAGAAAGAAATTTATCAGTGTCTTTCAGTAGACTTTAAAATGTTCAATACCTGTTGACCAGGTAATCCCACGTCTGGTAATTTGTACTGCAAAACTAATACGGAAAAAACGGTTTAAATGTTTAAAAGTATTCCTTGCAGTCATTAATAAGGGTGACTAATGGGCTAACAGTCTAAATTTCCAATACCCAATAAAAATCACACATAGAAGACTATATACAATATGATTTTGTTATGAAAGTAGGCAAAGGGATAAATTAGTAGAAAACAGTTCATAGAAACATTAACAAAGGGGAAAATGGTTTTTGAAAATATTTGGACACAACATTATATGTTTAATAGGAATAAAGCTGTAGAGGGGAAAGGATGTAGAGAAACAGATCAGTGGGAAATACCAGAATCTTAATAGCAGTTGCTTTAGTTTGTAGGATTATAAGTGAATGTTTTATTTTATAATCGTTCCTTATCACTAACGCCGTCATGCCCACTCCTCTTCCCAGAGGAAATCACTATAAACAATTAGATTTATATCTTTTCTGAATTTTACCTGCACATTTACATATAAATATATATATACACACATAATAGTTTTGACATCAGAGCATACATAAAATTCTGCAACTTGTATTTCTTGCCTTTTGTTTAACAAGTAGGGGTATCAAATAATTATTAATTATTTATTAAACTATTCCCCTTAGTTTTCATTTTTTTGTTGTCACAAACAATACTGTGTGAACATCATTGTTCATTTGTTCACTTATTAAATATATTTTGAATCCCTCTGTGTGCTAGACACTGTACTATATGCTGGGAATATGGTAATGAGTAAAGTAAACAGAAATCTTACAATCATGGAGTTACATTTGTGTATATATCTGCTGCTACATGAGCAGAAATTTTCATGGAGTGGGTACCGGGAAGTGGATTTTCTGGGTCAAAGCACAGCCTGAACTTTGATAGCCCTGCCACCTTGCCTTTCAAAGGCTTTATCAGTTTGCCCTCCTACTACAGCTATAAAATCCCATTTTCTTATGTATTATCTTCTTTGTGCTAATGAAAAAGAAAAAGAAGGCAAAACCTGAAGATTGTTCCTTGTGGGAAAACAGATGCTTTTACTTATTTTTATAAAATTACTAGTGATCAGAAAAAAGTTATCCCAGGGAAACAGTAGAGAGACTAAAAACAGAATCATACCTGTGTGGATGCAGCTACGTTGGAAACAGGAGAAATCAATTTTTTTTTTTAGGAGCAATCAGTTTTTGATACTGGAATAATTTGTACTCTGTATGAGAAAAATTTATTGGAGTTTAAAGGCTTTCATGTGAAGGCAAAACTTGAAAACTTTGGAAGGCAGCATAGGAGCACACATATCTCCTCAAGGTTGACCTTAGGGAGCAAAAGAGTTCTTAAAAGACACAAGAATGCAGACAATAACGGAAAAGATTGATAAATTTGAGCACATTAAAATATAATATATTTTTACTTAAAAAATGCTGTAAAGAAATTCAAAAGTCAAGTCACAAACTATGACAAAGTGTGATATGTAAAACTGTCAAGGGATTAATTTCCACAATATATAAAGAACTACGAGGTCGCATTGAGAGCAAGACAAACATTAATGGAATAATGGGCAAAAGAGATGAATGGACAGTTTACAGAGAAAAAAGAAAACTGAAATGCACAAAAATCATAAAAAGATGTCCAGCCTTATTCAGGAAATTGCCAGTTAAAACGTGAAGGAGGTCCATTTTATGTCCATCACATTGGCAAAGTCTGACCGGAGCCTGGCAGTAGCAGTTGTTGTCAGGATGTTGGCTTCAAGTGTAACGTGGAAAACCACTTGGCTTTGTTTAGTAAAGCTGCACGGCTCCTGTCGGCCAGCATCTCCACTCGTCGGTGTGTATCAGGGAACCGCTTGCTTATGACCACCAGAAGGTGAATACAGGAACAGCCGCAGTGTTCTCAGTGGCAAAAGCTGGGATCACAAACAGTGTCATCAGCAGTAGAAAGTAAAAGCTGATCATAGTGTCTTCATACAAGAGGATACTATATAGCAATGCCAATGATTGAACTATAAACGCTATCAATTTGGTTGGATTTCAATAAGTTACAGTTAAAAAATTATACATAAGAAATAAGATTAAAAAATAACAAAAAATAAATTTAAAAATAACAACAAACAAAACAAACCAAAACAAAAATCATACATGGAAGAGCATACAATGTGATTTTGTTATCAAGGTCAGAAACAGTCAACTTCAGGACTTCCCTGGTGGTCCAGTGGTTAGGACTCCGTGCTTCCATTGCAGGGGGCACGGGTTTGATACTTGGTCGGGGAACTAAGATCCCACATGCCACGTGGTGCGGCCAAAAAAAAAAAGAAATAGTCAACTTCAAAAATATCATATGGGGATAGTTACACACTTGGTAGAGCTGTAAGGAAGGGAATGATTTAACACAAAACGCAGGATAGTGATAATCTCTGAGGGGAAAGAAAGGAGGAGGACATTTGGGGCAACAGTAATGGTGAAGTCGTATTTCTTAAATTGGGTGTTGAATACAGGTATGTTTATTTTATTATTCTTTAAATTGACTTATTCTTTTATGTTTGTATGAGAGGTGTTATAATTTCAAAAACCAGCCAACAGCCAAGTCACATTATTTTATTTAACATAACTCCTTTGTTTCCATTATAGTTTTGGTGTCTATGGCCCTTCCCTAATATTGGGCATTTAACAATCAATAAATTAAGGTTTTATAAAAATCAGTTATTTCTGTAAGATTTTCAATTAATGATAAAAGCTTAATTCCGTTGTTTGTACAAGTCTGATATGATAGTCATTGTCATTTTAAATTAGAAATTTATTTTCCTTATATTCAATTTTTATTTGAATTTTGAAGTAGAGTTATAAATACTTCATTTGATGGGTGTTTTTACTTTTAAAAGAAGTCTTGAACAAATGTTTAAATCAAATACTGAGTAATTCAGCCTTGATGATTTTCCTTTTTCCTGGCAGCTAGCATTGGATATGTGGAGGAAATTGATGGTTGAACCACTTCAGACCATCCTCATCCGAATGCTGCTCCGAGAAATCAAAAAGTGAGTACTGACATTGATCTTCCTGAGTCAGTTCTAATTTGCTGTTTGAAATGGTCTAAAATAGTGAACGGTTGCATGGCTGTCAACTGCACATAGGCCTCGTTTTACTGTAACAAGCCTCATTTTCCATTCTAATGCCAATATTTTAAAATCGTTTTATAATCTTTTGGTTTTGGGGGGCACATTTCACTATGACCTAATATGCTTAGTAAACAAATAAGTCCCTGAAGGAAGTGACTTGTTTTGTAATCCTGAAACATCTTGGATCTTGTAGGCAGTGCTGAGTTGTTTGAACATATTCTCAGCTGAAACCCTGATGACAATAACCTACTCAGGAAAACAGATTCTTCCAGTTGTTGGTCACCTTAATAATCAGTTAACTTGTGAGGTAAATTTATGAGAAAAGGGCTTCCCACTGTCCTCATGGCCCAGAGTGGTTGACTCTTTACCTAACTGCTGTGTGAATAACGTTTGGCACCAAGTAAGTTATCCTGTGGAGTCCAGAGTAGAACATTCTTGGTCAGCTCTGGCCTAGAAGATTCTTACTAGACCTCAGCTCTGGGGAATCCGAAACTGAAATCGCTCACACAGATAAATTTTAGGTGACTGGAACTACTGTGAAAGGAATGCTGTAGACCAGTGAATTGCTGTGTGATAATGGCCAACTCCCTCTGAAACTGCTTTCATTAAGAAGACCCAAATACGGAGTTTTTTATGTGAGGAAAAAAGCAGAGCGTTGTTCTTACTATGGGGCTCCTAATAAGAAATAAGAGGTTAAGAAAAAAAGCCACAAAAGGAGAGACTATTTTAATAATTAATGTTAACACCAAATAGAAAATATGTGGTAGGAGTTAGTAACTTGGTTTTTAAAAATGGTCACTCACACTTTTCATGATTCTACTGTTTCCAAAGGTGATGAGAGAGAGGAAAGGCAGTAGTGAAGCAGTAGGGTGGAACAGTTTTCTTCCTTCCTCTTTCTCCACTGAACTATGACTGACTAAAAGAACACGTCCAACGAGAGTTACAGGCTCTAGTATAATTTCCTTTGCTAAGAAATATTAGCTTTCTTCTTGACTTAGGATTCAGCTATTTTACGTTAAAAGTATCATGAAAATATTGTTATAATTTTCTAAATGCACTTTTAATGAAATGTCTTTTTTTTTTTTTTAAAGAATTTTATTTATTTATGGCTGCGTTGGGTCTTCGTTTCTGTGCGAGGGCTTTCTCTAGTTGTGGCAAGCGGGGGCCACTCTTCATCGCGGTGCGTGGGCCTCTCACTACCGCGGCCTCTCTTGTTGCGGAGCACAGGCTCCAGATGTGCAGGCTCAGTAGTTATGGCTCACAGGCCCAGTCACTCTGTGGCATGTGGGGTCTTCCCAGACCAGGGCGCGAACCTGTGTCCCTTGCATTGGCAGGCAGACTCCCAACCACTGCGCCACCAGGGAAGCCCCGAAATGTCTCTTTTAATATAATTTTGATCCAACCTAGTAAATTTTCCTTAAGTGTGATTGTTAACTTGTTAAAAATGAATTTTATGAAAAATTAAAGAAAATATAACTGAGAAAAATAATACAACAGTAGGATACTAATTCTGGAAAAGACATAGGGACTATATGTTTAGAGACATTAGGGCAACTTGTTTTGGTTTTGTTGTTAAAATCAGTTTCCATTAAAGTATTATTCAACATGCTTTACTAATATCTCATTTATTTTTTATGTCTACTCTATTAGGTAGGTATTATCTTACATTTTACAGCTAAAGGTACTAAGGCTTAATAATAATAATAAAATATGGAAACTGTATACCAAGCAGTGATCTAAAAACTTTACATGTGAATCCCATTTAATCTTCACCCTAGGTGATTGGTACAGTTTACCATTTTACAGTTGTGTTGCTCTATTCAGCTCCCATCTTCTTAATACCAGAGATTCAAATCTGGAATTTTTAACTCTAAATCCATGATGCCTGTCATTTCAATCTGCAGAATGTTTCTTCCACTCCTAGCTCCAGTACTTGAGCTTAATGATGAATATATTTTGGTTTTATAATGCTTTGAGTATTCTAGTGTTTTCACACGTATTTTCTTTATTTGATCTCAAGGAGGCCAGGCAGGTTTTATTTATAAGTAAGCAAATTGAACTTCAATAAGGAAAAATGACTTACTGAACTTGATGTAGGTAGGAAAGAGACTCCATGTCTTTAAGCTTCCAATTTGGGTCTTTCTGCTACATTGCTTTAACATGTATTTACCCTTTGTCATGTGAGATATCATGGACAGATAGGGTGACAGTAAAGCATGATGAGAGAGTGGTAAATTGCCCAGAGCACTGGGAAAAGTAGATTGAAAAAGGTGAGATGAAGTGGAGAGGATTATACAGTGAAAAGATTTCAGAGCAAGGACAAATGACATGCCGGCAATCCCTAACAGATAGACGTGGTTTTATTCCTGCCTAGATAGGTCTCCCTTAGTGCTAACATTATTTAATGTAGTCTGAGAGGTTATTTTTTATCATAATAGCCAAGAGTTACTAAAAGAAAAGACATGTGTCTTTCCTAGTTCTTAAATATATTTAGTACTTGGTACACTGTTTACCCTTGGACGTCAACATTTTTTAGATACTGCTGCTTTAAAACTGTTCCCAGGGTTTTACGTTTGTTTAGCCCTGTGATTCTTAAGCACTTGTCCTTTAGCTAAAATGCTTGCTTCCACCGCTCAGGTGCTTATCTGATACTAATGATACAGCTCTTTTCCTACAACTTGGGTTAGATAATCCCTACCTCAGTTAATTGTTCTTTATTTTACCCAAGTAATATACTTTCTCCATCTTTTCACTGTGTGCTCTTAGCTTCATCAGTAGATGAATTAATTTGGTTAGCACCTTTAGGAAAAGAGTAGTTCCTAATGTAACTTTGGTTGTGCAGAGGTATATTTTATGCTGCACCATCACCTGCATCTCTAGGAGTTTTTGTATAGAATCACACATAGAACTGTCCTTCATTTTCTTATTGTAAGAGAAATATACAGATCATAAAAATTCCCCAACTCACAGGTAGTGTGTTGATCTTCTTGGAAGATTTCACAAAGTTGAGGGCCATCTCAGCCTTGAAAGAGGTAAAGTTATCTGCCAAGCTAATAGAGGACTTTTTCTTGTGAAATCAAAATGTTCTGCTAAGTGAAAATTCTTACTAGGCATGAATGCTGAAATGCTCAGTAAACTGTAATACAATTTCATGACTTTTGAAAAAAGTTGTATTGGGTGGAGTAGGGTTTCTGTAGATCAGAAAAGACGGTCTAAAAAGGTCACAGGCAGGAAAACAAGACAGCAACATAAAGTGACGTAAAAGGCTAAACGACCATGTATCCTCTGCTTTTAAGGTACAGACTAGGTCCAGGCTCTTTTTTTGATTAATTGTATTCTATAAAGGTGGCTTCTTTTGACGTATATAAGCGCTACAGGAATAATCCCAGCTTCATGCATTTTAGAGAAACTGTTTCAGTGAAGTACTAGATTTAAAAGTGGAATGTAGGTTGCAGAATTTTTTTGTTTGCTTAAGAGAGTCAATGAAACAATTGTTTAATTTTCTTCATGGTATCATGAAATCTGTACACATAAAATTTAATTGATAATCCAAAAGTAAAAGTGCTCCTTCTATATAAGGAAGAAAGATACAAGTGATGTAGTCATAGGTTGTGTATCTGCATGTTTTTCACAGTGTCTGCTTCACTAAGGAAAGATAAAAGTAATTCTATTCATATAATAACTTGTCTTTTATAATAAAATAGTAGAATTGCCAATTGGGGCTTTCAGCGTAGTAACAACCTAACATTGTTTTTAATTTTAATAAATAAAATGCTGTAACTTTGTGGATCTAAATGTTACAGTGTAAGAATATGAAATTAGAAGAAAGTAGATACATTTTTAAATGCAGGTAAAAGGATTTGCTTAGATGCTTAAAGATACTGTTGAAAACACAGACTTTTTAATGCTAAATGGATTCAGAATTGCTTTCCTTTTTTCCAGTAGCTCCACAGTTAACTTTCTAGTGTCAAGTAGTCTTTGAACAAAAGTAGAAACTTTAAGTTTTAAAATTTTTTAAAAAATATTTTATTTATTTATTTTTGGCTGCATTGGATCTTAGTTGCTGTGCGTGGGCTTTCTCTCTAGTTGTGGCGAATAGGGTCTACTCTTCGTTGCGGTGGGCGGGCTTCTCATTGCAGTGGCTTCTCTTATTGCGGAGCACAGGCTCTAGGTGTGCGGGCTTCAGTAGTTGTGGTGCCTGGGCTCAGTAGTTGTGGCACACAGGCTTAGTTGCTCCGTGGCCTGTGGGATTTTCCTGGACCAGGGCTCGAACCCATGTCCCTTGCATTGGCAGGTGGATTCTTAACCACTGTGCCACCAGAGAAACCCCAAAATAAAAACTATAAATAAAATTCTTTCTTTCCCTTTGAATTAGGAACAATCTATAACATAGGCTGCTATGGCTGATTTGTGTTTTCTCTGGCATGTTCATATGTTTGTTATTCTATTTCTTAACTGTTAAGAAATTATAGATTTCATTGAGGAAAAATATCTTGGATAAAAATAAAATTTAGGGCTTCCCTGGTGGCGCAGTGGTTGAGAGTCCGCCTGCCGATGCAGGGGACATGAGTTCGTGCCCCGGTCCGGGAAGATCCCACATGCCACAGAGCGGCTGGGCCCGTGAGCCATGGCCGCTGAGCCTGCGCTTCCAGAGCCTGTGCTCCGCAACGGGAGAGGCCACAACAGTGAGAAGCCCGCGTACAGCAAAAACAAACAAACAAACAAACAAAATAAATAAATAAAATTTAATGTAGTAGTTTTTATTCTTTTGTATCTCAGTTTCTGAGAGATGTTTTAAATTTCCCAGCTCATTTTAGATTTATGGATTTTCATCGGTGCAGTTGTTAGTTTTTGTTTTATGAATTTTGAGGCTCTGTTGTTAGTTGAATAAATATCAGGGTTATTCTGTTCATGGTTAA